CCAAAAAGAAAATACAGAAATCAGAAAATCAATATTTTTCTTATCACAAAATAAACAATAACTGCCAGAACCAACTAAGGCTCTAAAGGGGCAGTAAAAATATCAAAAGAAAATAAACAAATAAATAAATGTTCTCAATTCAATAATCAAAGAAAATCAAAATCAAAATAACCTTCACAAAATATAAACAATAACTGCCGAAACCTACAATGGCTCTACAAAGGCAGTAGAAATATCACAAGAAACAAACAAATAAATATTTCCCAACTCAGTAAATCAAAATAATAAACTTAAAACACAAAAAATGACTGCCAAAACCAACAATGGTTATAATACAGCAGTATAAAGAAAGATATATATATAAATATATATATATATACACAAACCCAGTAAATCAAAAAAAAATAAATCAAATTGAAGTATAAATACAACTTTAATCTAAATTGGAATCAAAACAAACAAACCAAAAGAAAGCAAACCCAGAAAAACAAACTTCTTACATTGACAAAATTATAATATAAAGCCCCAAACCCCTTGAGCTAATCACGTATCATAAAAACAATAGCACTCACGAACCAAATGCCACATACTCTTGGCCAGACAGCCGTAACTACCCGGTGGCCGTGATCGACGAGCATACAGCGATCAGTCGCTGATATGCTATTTACACCAATGAGGCGGTGGCCCGGGCAAAGTGGCACATGTGGCAAACAGAGACATACATAAAACACGGCAATGTACAGCACCTTAAACACAGGCACAAAAGGCACTATATAGTTGTCAGGCAAATAGGCAAAAGCAAAACAGCAGCCAGCGAATCGGTCCTGTGCAGCTAGTGATGATCTCCGGCTAAACTGGCCTCATTCCTGTTAGCTACACAAAGAAAAACTACCATTAACCCCCAATTAATAAGAAACTAGATATAAATCCCACGTCATCTGAGATACATACCCATCGTTCAGACGTACCCGAGGGAGAAAGCTCGACGAGTGCCCACGGCACTGATAATGCAGTGTGTTCAGTGGTTCAATGAATTGAACGACGAGATGAGTTCGTCCATCCGGCCGGAGATCTACGAACGCCAGTAACCACATAATACTAGTAAGCAGGACGGCAGGAAACAATGTTCGCACGGAGACAGCAAAGCCACTACCCTACCTGTTAGCGCAACAACGCACACACGGAGAGAGGGACCCGGACGCACAACGCAACTTCCGGTCACCGATGAGCAGGAGAGGGCGTCAGAAGGATTACGCGCTATTTATAGGAGGGAGCTTCACACGGGGAGTGACCAAGGGAACACCAGCTCATCAGACTAACTCGTACTGCCACACTCATATGTTCCAATAG